TTTAATGTTATGTGATAAACACTAAAAGTAATATGGATATTAAATTTGGTAGTTACGATACTCATTTAACTTTGGGGGTAATATTATTGTTACCATAACAACTACTATAAACTTACTGCATGGTTTTCGTTCAAAATAATTCTTTACAGAGTTAAGTTTAATTCAGTTTTTAATGTAATTACAAAACTACAATAATTTTCCATATGTTCATGTCAACAATTTTGTTTCTAATACAGATTTTAACTTGTTATTCTTTCATCTAAATCACAAATCTAATACGCAGTTCTTGATCTCTGGTAAATTTGTGTGATTAGGTATACATTTTTAACATGTATAGGCAGGTTTAGACGACATATTTGGGAAGGGTTTTTTTTTTCCACGTAGTAAGTTACATCGTTCGTAGTATATGAGATTAAGCCCTTGCTTGAGTCTCATTCTCTAAAAATTCATTTTTTTTTTCTAAACTTATTTTCAACTGCACATTTCCCCAATAAATAATTTTAAACATAAATCTAAAATTTTTTTCTACTTTATTCTCCAAAAAAAAATCACTATTACAAAATCTAGTAACCTGTTTGATACCCATTAATTTATTTTATGGTTTGCTACAGAATCATTTTCAATCACACATTCACACAATAAAATATTCTATATTTATACCAAAAAAAATTCTCTACTTTTTAATCACATGTTCTCCTAAAAATTACTATTCAAAACTCATTTTTCTACAATAATGGTTGTCAAACAAGCTCTTATTTCTCAAAAAAATGAGGCTCAAACATAACCTAAACATCAGGGAGGGAACGTAAAGTTACACCATGTAAGATTGATTGTAGGTTAATTTGTAATTATAGCGATGTACAATTTGTTTGAACTATTATGAACATGAAGTTACAATTTGTTGATATGAACATTTGAAGGTTTTACAATTTATGTTACATTACAGTTCATTGTTATTATCCTCCGTTATGAACTATGCTTTGTTCTCATTCTCAAATACATTCCTCTTTAGGTAACAGAAGTCGTAAATTCTAAAATTATCTCTCTCTCATTTGTGATCATTCAAAAATTATGAAGCTTCGAAATATTGTATTTTTAATTACAATACAGTAGCTGTAATTTACTGTTAAGTAATGTAATTATTATTTAATACATTACCCTTAATTTTTGTAGAAATTAAGCCTTTTGCTCAGGGTTCATCACTTGGATTCTTTCCAACTGTTCCCTGTAAAAGTCATGTCACGGTTCGTTTTTGCAACATTTGAGGAGCACATTTCCGGCAATAAAAAGTATACAATAACAAGAACAGCAACCAAGATTCAGTGAAGGCAGAACACTTGTATCATTTTGAACGAGGCAAATCATTTGACATGAGTTATTGTAGAAATTAAATGCATTCTAAAGTATTTCAATTTTCAATGCTTCATATATTGATCATTCTTCTCCTCTTTTATGTAATGCTTTCGTCGGAAACTTTAAGGTGAGACCTCCTTGATGAGCGAAAAGGGCTTGCTATGCGGGCTAATCCAGACATGGGGTTCTTCATCTCGATCATTGTGCTCTAAGTATATAGAAAGAAAATGGACGGAAATAATATACTCACTTCATCCCATAAAGGTAATCCTCTTTCTTTTTTTTCACACAAATTAAGAAAATTTAGTTAATATAGTTGAAATAATAAATTTTATTATCATTTTTCCTAATATACCACAACATTAATGTAATCAATATTCAAGGTAATTAAATTATTCTTGGTACTAATTATTGTTTAATGCAAGAATCAAGGTAATTAACATTCCAAAGTCATCAAATACACATGATTAAATGTCATGTAAGTGAAATGTTTTTTGGTTTTTAATTTATTGTTCCAACTACAATTGAGAGTGATTTATATTTGTGACAGCAAAACACATTAAATAAGGGTATATTATGAAATTAATATATTACCTATACTCTCAAATAAGAAACATGAATATAATTTGGGACAGATGAAAAAGGAACACGAGACTATCTTTATGAGATGAATGGAATAATAATTTGGAGGAAAATTGGTAAACAAAAAAGTTGTTAAAGATGAAGACACTATTGGAGTATTTAAATTTTTTCTCTCTCTAAATTTATAATTAAATATTCTCTAAATTGCAAAATATACTTTTTAAAAATAGAAAGTATCTTGAAAATACTCTAAACGAACCACATAATGGAGAAGATCTAATTATTATAACATCGGTACATTTAATTATTCATGTTCTTTAATTTGCCAATTAACATAGGAAACAAATGGTCATTAAAAGGAAAATGCCTACAACAGAAAATATTGTTCTTCTTTTGACAATATTTTAAAACAGATTTGATTGCCAACATACTATCAATTATGACTCAGAAAGATTTTTAGTCTTTGTAATTACATAATCTCTACTATAAACATTCGGTGTAATATAGTTGCATCCCGTGTTAATAAATTAATGTAATATCAAAAACTCATATTTCTTATAGTTATTACCCACAACACATAAAATAAAGCTTACAGAGACCTTTTTAAAAGATTAATCGATCACATTCGGTGGTACATTTAATTAAAAATGAAAGAAAAATAGTACTAGGAGGGGGATATGCTACTTAAAGCTTTTTGGGCCAACGAGCTTTAGGTTTGAAATAGTATTCGATTCAATTATTTTTATGATTTTAGGTTTGGAATAGTAATCGATTCGATTGCTTTTATGATGGTACAAGAAATCCCATCGGAAAGTAACGAGAATTTTCTTTTATCCACTTCTAGTTTGATACAAAAGAAATTAAGCAATATAGCATTCATCATTATTTTCTTACATTGTCTCAATATCTTATTATTGCAACGAATATCTTTAAAAATAAACCACTTTCTTTTAATATGCTGTTTTGCATTGTTTGGTAAAATAGTGCTAGCTCATCTAGAGCCTAGAGCCCCATTGATATTTGGTAAGAAGACAATATTCTTCAACAAATATTTATATGGATAGATTGTACTTTTTCAAAAGCCAAAACAATCACAATATTTTTCTTTTTAAATATTGAATTGCTGAAGTTATATTCCTTCAAGAATAACATCATGATATTCAATTGTCAAGGGAGGAGCCAGGTGGACAATTTTTCCCTCTTCAATTGTCAGTTGTTTAATGTATGCTTTTTCAGATGAATAATATTATATTAAAGTCACATTTCTTCATAAAGAATATCATATTCTTTTATATTCATGAGTTATAATTTTTCAAATTATTTTCCAAAAATAATAAAATTTATTTGTGTAAAGCCACTCTTCAAGATGAACACGATATTCTTCTGTAATAAAATAATAAAACAATATGCTTTCAAAAAATTGTATGTCTGAATTTGTGCTTTCTCGGAAGCAATAAAATAAAATTCTTTTGAAATATTAATACATAAAAATAACTTACTTTTTCTTTTGAAATATTGATTTTATATTTGTACTCTTCCAAGAGTTATATTATAATGTTTTTCAAGAATATTGATATATAAAGATTATACTTCTACTGGAGTAATAATCTAATATTCTTAATATTAATATATAAAGTTGTGATTTTTAGAAGCAAAGATGAATTTTTAGAAGCAAAGATGAAATATTAATTTGTATAAATTTGTGATTACTCAAAAATAATAATGATATTAAAAGTTTTTGTTTCTTCTCGAGCAATATTAAATAAAAAGATTTAATATATTAATGAAAACTTTTACATATCCCGAAATACATTCAATCTTACAAAGCACAAAACACAATTAAATATTTGTAAAAGTAAATTTACTTAGGTTTTAGCTTCGACAAATTTATAAAATTTCGAAGAATTCACAAATCTTGAAGTGATTTCATATTTAGCATAGCTACAATTCTTCAAGTATGTTTTATCAAAAAATTAAAAAAAAAATTCTTCAAGTATGTAGTTCATAAATTAAAGGGAAAAAAAATGAGTTATTTTCACCAACCAATTACATAATATCACTTGTACATTATGTAACTCTTAATGTAACATTCAATGTACAAGTAGAATAATCAAAAAAATATAATAATATTTTATACACTTGTAAATAAAACGAACAATCATGCTGATAAAACATGTTACAAAACTAATAGAAAATATAGGAGAATATAAGAAAATGGAAAAGAGCAAAAACTCTTGTTTAGATTCTATTGAGAATGAAAACCCTATAATTGGTATACAGTATCGTTTCGGGGTAGCAAGTGTGACAATAAAATATCATAATTGCGAACTTGGATAGGCATGATTATGACAAACAAGGATATGAGACATGCAATGATGTTGGTACTTGTCTGAGAATGTTATTATTCAAAAATGCTAATTGTACAGTCAATTACACAGCCCCCTCACATGGGGTGGGCCCCACAAAATATAAAAAAAGACTGTAAATGTAGCCTAATTCTTAATTATTTTATTCCCTACCTTAACTTATTTGCATTATCTAAGGTTTTTCATAAGAAAATATGCATTTAAGAAGTCAATCACGAATGCAGACGTTTCGGCGTTAAGAGCAATCGTTACACTAATTTAAATGATAACAAGAAACATTTTTATTAGTACAAATCATCGTCAAAATAGAAAATTTTGACGAAGTTCTTGATATATGTAAATACAAGGAGATGAATTATGAATGGATTGTTAAAGTGAGATAGGACAAAAACAATTAGAAATGAAAGCAATGCATATTCCTTCACAAAGCAAGAAACGAATTTCAAATTAAATTATCAAAAGGAAAAGGAAAGAAAATTTTTTGAAAAAGAAAAGAATTATTCTATAGTAATCAGAAAAAGAAAAGAAAAGAAAAAATCTATAGTATAAATAGTGTAAAATAATAAAGAGACGAAAAGTGGGAAGGCATCAGATTCTTCCTCTCTCACAACGTTGTATAAATTGAAGTACAATAATTTCTCTGTCTATATAAATTCATTGGAGTTAAAAATATCATCAGTTGTCAAAGGCAAGGAGAAAATGCAGAATGAGCTGACGGAAGATCAGATTTCCGAATTCAAGGAAGCCTTTGCCCTGTTCGATACGGATGGCGATGGTAAGCCCTCTGATAAAATATACATTTGGTTGTTTGTATATGTATAATGTATTCATGGGTTTGACATGAATTGTTCTTTTGATCTGCATGCGAAATAAGTAATTTCACAATGAGTTAGTATTGTTGTGGTGTGAAAGAATTCGGAATGCTGCTTCCTTCCATTATTATTGGGTTGATGACATCTTTCGAACTGTTGCTTTTTATTCCCCAAGTTTGAAGCTGCAGGTGCATTTGATGTTTTTCCTTTTCCCTTTTTGTTTATTATCCATTTGCATCTATTTTACACATTCATTTTTGGCTCACTGACCATCAGATTTTTGTACCTGAATTCGTATTAAATTGACATTTGTTTCATTTAAAGAAACTTGAATATGGACTTTCTCATGTTAGACCCTATTGTAACTGCATTTTTTTGGTTATATTTACATCTGAATACTGCTGCAGGTTGTATTACTACCAAGGAGCTTGGGAAAGTGATGCGGTCATTTGGACAGAATCCAACTGAGGCCGAGCTTCAGGATATGATCAAAGAGGTTGACGCTGCTGGAAATGGGACAATTGACTTACCAGAATTTCTTAACTTGATGGTCAGGAAAATAAAGGACACTCATTCTGAGGAGGAGCTCAAGGAAGCTTTCCAAGTTTTTGACAAGGATCAGAATGGCTTAATTTCTGCTGCTGAACTTCGCCATGTCATGACAAATCTTGGTGAGGAGCTCACTGATGAAGATTTTGATGAGAGGATCCGCGAAGCTGATGTGGATGGCGATAGGCAAATCAACTACGAGGAGTTCGTCAAGGTCATGATGGTCAAGTGAGAACCGAACAACCCAATACTAAATTTTTGAAAGTATTAAAATAGACCCAAAAGTAGAAACAGAGAAATTAAGCTTGATGAGATTTCTGTTTCTGGTTAGGACGTGCTCTTCTTTTCTGTGTGCTTACCTGTTTTCCTGTTTGCGTTGTTTTAAGTGCTATTCCTCAGTACATGCTTGTTTGCTCTGTCCCTTGTTTTGACATTTTGGATTGTTAAACATCTTCAAGTTTCTTTGACGGAGAACTTTCACTTATAATCTTATCAGTGACCAGTGTTGATACTCCAAGCATTACAACTTTTAATTTCTTCTTTCTTCTTCTTTTTTAATCTAATAAATGGATATCTACTAAGCTTCTATGTTGCATTTATTTGTTTAAGTACACAATTATCAGATTAAATCAAGCCAGGGGATTTAAAAAGCACGTTGAGATACATAGAGGATGTACACTTGTCTTCCTTCAGATTTTGTTGCTTGAACACACCTAGAGGATAGCTGTTTAGAACGATGTCCTTCGGATGTAAAGTGAATAATTTCCCACGTCTGTGTATGTTCATCGCATCCAGTTCACTGCACATCTCTCTGGGCCTAGGTAAGGAAAATTGTTAGGTATACCTAATTATCAGTCCTTCCTAAGGATTTTTCTCAATGAAGGGATCTGGATGCTTCTGATCCACATTGAGCTGGAAAAGTATATGTCACACTTTCATTTGGAGAAAGTGTATGTGGAAGAACAAATATTGATGGCATTTCAATCGATTAAAGAAAGTATTTATTCCCCACCAGTTGACGCGCACAATGATTGTCATTTTCGGTGTAATGTAGAGTCTCTTGTGTGTAAATTCCTCAGCTTCTGTCATTTTCCTTTATGTGAGTGCATCATATTCTCTTGTGGGGAATTCCACTTTATCATATGGGTTCATGATGCTTGGTCTCAGAATCAGGTTCTTGTCATGGACATAAAGATATTGGGGGAGTCCTAGGGCATTCTAACTTTTATATCTGCTCAATATATTATCTGCCATAACAGCATATAGGAGAATCTAGAGGAGAAAACAAAAACAGCAGTAAACTCCGTTCTAGAGAAGTTCGTTCGTGCACGATAGGCATTCGAGTTTTTATATAAGATCCATAGTTGGAGATAAGATTTGTACATGCTTGGATAGAAGTAGGATACATGAGAATCTAGAAAAGGTTACGACTACTCGATGTATAGTTGCAAAAGGAGAAGTGACTATGGAGGAAGGTGCCATTGGAAGAGATGGCTTTGTCTATTCTGATTTCTGAAGCGGCTAAGCTAGTTTGGATGAGACACTAGTTGCAAAAGATGCACTAGTTGCAAAAGATGCACCAAAATACAATACCATAAATTGTTCTTCACCCAACCCACCCACCCAGGTAAGACCTTCGAAACTTTTTTTCTATTCTTTGGGTCCTCCCTCTTATATAGGTCATAGCATTCTTTATATGTATACAAAAGTAATAATGAAAATATATTCTTTCTTTTTAAAGATGTGGAGATTCACTAACAAATAACAATTCAAATTGCCTAGTAAATGGTTAAACATCTCTCGACAATTTTTTGCGCGTCTTTGTCCATGCTATGTTTCTTTTTAGAGTTCCAACGTTGCTTGAACATTCTTATAGGTGAACTATAAATTTGTGTGTGTGTTTTTTCATCCCTTGTTTGGTGACTAGTTCTCTGACGTGTCTTTTTACTTGACATGTACTCGATTTTTGTTATAAGTGATGATACTTGTAATTCATTTAGACGTATGACTTCTCAAAGTCGATTGTTTACTTAATTTCTTGAAATTTTATCTAATCATTTTCTCTTTATTGGTTCTATTTTGTAATAATTTGAAATATATCTTTTTCAAGGAAATGATATAAATAATGGTAGTGTTAAATAAAGTTATATGTATAATAATTAGAAAAACGTTTTAACTTGAGAAAATAAAAAGTGCTTAAGCATTCATGTCTTAGGAGGCCGGTTTAACCAGGCCCAACACAGTTCACAAATTTTGACTTGAGACCAATGACCGGATCTATTTGGGTGGGTCAATTTTCGGGTCTGACCCATTCAACTCATTTTGGAATTGCAACCCGACCAGCCTTGGGTAGGGATTTGAAACTTGAGACCTCACTTAATTTAGTTCTTTTGTTACATCTTGAAGAAAGAGTAAAATGAATATTTTGGGTTTGAAAAACACAGTGAAATTTTATTTCATACAGATTGAAACTTTAGAGATAATTTTCCTCCTATTTAATTATAAATCAGTGATATAACCAATTTTAAGTTTAATATTTTTAAAGTGATACCAATAATAAATTTAGTTGTTTAAAGAAAGTTTTCTCGACTTTGATCTCAAATGAAATAGTAAACGTCCGAATAATACATACACACACATCTTTTTTTTTTGTTTGAAACCTACAAGTATTGGATTTTAAATTGATAAATACTGCCTCTGTCCCATAAGGATAGATTTGATTTTTTTGTCTGTCCCAAATTATAAATTATTTTCCTTAGTGAAATTATATATATTTTTTAATTTTCTATTATGACTTTACTTATTGTACCTTGTTAGCAATATATATAAATTAATTCTATTTAAACCATTATTTAATGTAAAATTATATTAAAAAAATATATTTTCGGTATGAAGTAGTATATTTTAGGTACTAAATGTCAACCTAGGCGTTCGAGGCTGTGTCTTCACAGACATAGAGGTACGATTTTGAGTCTTTAAAAGTGTCAAGATGTGAAAGCTTTGTACACTTGGCTTTATTCTTGATGAAGTGCCTTGAAGCTTAGGTACTAAATGTCGACTTAGGCATTAGAGGCAAAGTCCTCTCAAAGCATGTTTGAATAGTTATTCTCTGAGTAGTGTAGTTTTTAAAATAAACCAACTCGAAAGAACTTCCTCAACTCTTCTACAAAATGCAAAAGCAGAAGCTACACTGACGTGGCCCTTGCAAATTCAATTTTATAAAGACTAACACATCAAAATTATTTGGAATTGCAGAAAGCGAAAAAAAATGATCGAGTCGAAGAGACAGGTGGAGAAGACGAGAAAGAATTCTAAGACCAGTGGCGAGAAAAGACACAAGATTAGAGAATGTTTGATGCTATAAATTCACCATTCATTCTTTCAGTTCAACTCAAGAAACTGAATTTGGGTCTTCTCCTCTCTCAAATAAGGTACAAACCAAACCCAAGGAGTTTGTAAGGCTGGACTCGTAGCCATAATTCAGTGTTTGTTGTCCTTCTACAATAATTATTAAGATACAATCTCAAAACTGTTAGCATAATTTTCTTCAGTTCTATGAGTAAGAGAAACTTCCCAATTTCACATAAAATTTTCAGCCAAGCTTAGGATAAAGCGAAAATGAAATAACCACAAACTATTATACTTGAACCAAAATGCTTGAAATTTATACACGATAAGATTGTCAAGCACTTCCATCAGTAGTAAGTGCCATGTGAAGGAAATGTCGAAGAGTAATGTTATGTAGCTCCACTGAGTTTGCAACTTCAGTCTAGGTGGCTCTAAATGATAGTCTAAATGAAAGGTAAAGTTAAATGACTTATTTAATTTCATCTATCATTTAATGTCACATTAACGCCGCCTAGACTGGCTAGACTGGGGTTGTAATCTCAGTAGGGCTAAATAACATTACTCAATATCGAAACACAAGTTTATCACATTTAGAGCATCTCTAATAGACTCTATTTTTAAAGAGCATATTCTATCATTTGGAGAGTATCTATAAATTTAGAGAGTTAAAACTTTTAAAATACTTCAACAAACTCTTTATATTTAACACTCAATTTTATTACTCCCAAAAAGTATTTATTATTTTTGTTTATCTTTTATTTTAACTAGCTTTTCTTTAAATTATTTTATTGTTTTCCTACATTGAAAATTGAAACAATTTGAATGCAATTAATTATAAAGAGCAAGTTTAGAATTTGGAGAGCCAAACTCATTCTCTAAATTAAAATGTTAATTTAAAGAGTATCTTGAAGTATGATTTTAAATGTTGACTCTTTAAAATAGAGAATATCTCATGTTTAAAGAGTTTTTTTGGAGATACTCTTATTGAAGATTCACCTCTTAAGCGGCTTATGTAGGACGACTGTTACATACTTGGACTGGTACCTGTGAGTCATACCAAGAGGAACCATGGACTAAGACGACCATCCTTTCTCTATAAAGAGGTGGTTGAGCACCACGTGATTAGGTGTTGAAGAAGAAGCAGTTTCATTTGAGTTTTCAGAGTCGAGAACGGATAAATGGAGTTGAGGTGGAGCTGCCACGGGATCCTTTGCAAAATCTTCGTCTCCTGGGAAAGTTTGACTATAGCTCGACTCTGGTGATTGGGGGGCCTTGAACTCAGCTACACTATAGAGGTTTTCTGGAACATAATCCTGTTGAAACAACAAATGATTACAAGTCTATTAAGAAAAAAGAATCCGACTCAACTATAGCAGGAAAACGACAAAGTGAGATGTACGATTGGACAAGAAAGCATTTACTTATAAGTTAAAATTAAACTATATTAATGCAAAGGGATTGCATGGATGTTTCTTCCCGTTACTCTCTCGCGCGAAATTATTCAGTGCCTACTTTTTCTTTCTGACAATAGTCATGGATATGTAAGCACAATAGAAACCGACCCCTCAAAATTCTACCCAAGCATGAAGTCTTGTGTGTGCATGCATGGGCGTATAATTGTGATCGGTTATTGAAGCTTCATTACTGAAAGAAGAAAAACATGTTTCCAAAATTACAACTCTTTAAGTTGTATGTCCACGTGGCTATTTTCTATTGGCTAGAGTATTAATTCCCCGGATTGTGCTTCTTTACATGGGTTGTGAGCCGTCCGATTTAATCAATGGTTGTGATCTTTAGTTGGCGTTTTTATTGTGATGGCTGATGACTTTTGGACTTCACTTTTCATTCGATCTGTTGGTTTTGCTTCTGAAGTTTTGGGTTCCCTCTAGAGTCCCTTATTCTTTTCTCTTGGCTGACGTTTTCAGATCGTGAAAAGATCTGTGAAATCCATGTGTAAATTGCTATTGTAACAGACTAACAGTAACATTGTTGGCTATATTGATTAGGTTCTGTAATTGTGTATAGCATGTTAGGGTTTGGTTTTTTGGGTTGAAGTTTTAGGAGATCTTTGGATCGATGACTAAAACTCATGCGATATGATATTTGGTTGATGTAAACTCTCTCTGGAAGGCATTTTTGGCGCATTAGTGGATTTGGTTGGTAGCTGAGACTCCCAGATTAGGCATAGCCGTACTAGGTTAACATTTTGGTGTTATTTTCCTTTTCTGCAGCGTGTGTTCTCGAGTGTGATTTTTCTTGTTTGTGCATGATTTTGGCTTTTTAAACCCAACAATTACAATGATTGTATTTAAAGACAACTTAAATGCTAGTTATAGAATAAGAGTTTGAAAATTTTGTTTCTCTTTCCAAGTAATAGACAAATTAAAATTATTAAAAAAGAAGATAAATATTGCAGAATAGGAAAGTGGTAGTCCATTAATCTCTAAAATTCCAAAAACAAACCTCCCAATAAAGAGAGGCAATGAAAATTGAATAATCAAATGATTTAGATATAAGCGCGAACCTTTGCATTTGAATCAATGCAGATAGATATCTTGCTATGTTACACAAAAGGTCGAAACCGTATGCAAGGAACTCAACAATCTCGATGCCATTATTTGGAACATAAAAACAATCGAGATATCAGTATTTGGTTATTCAAAAAGAACGCATGAAATGAACGGCAAATCTGAGAATTAGAAAAGTGAATTCTCAATAAAGAGTTAGTGCAATTGTCCATTTGAGTTATTAAAGAGAGATCATATGGCCATTCTTCCGTTAATATCGATATGTGCATCTTATCGACTATAAAGCTAAGGAAAAAGAAAGAAAGAAAGAAAATTACGAAACAAATAGATATATCACATCTAAGTCTCAAAGTTGATTAGGTTTTTAGAGGCACTAATTAAGCCCATGTTTGGTTTAACTAAAAAAATTGATTAAAATTTATGTCACAATTAGCAATTGATATTATTGCATACATTTCATGGGATCCATAACTTTTACTAATATTTTTCAAAATCTACTAAAAATCTAATTTTTAGTTAAATCAAATAGTGGCTAAGCATAATAATGAAAACTCAAGATAAAACTGTGCTTCTATATCAAACCTTGATAATAGAAATCAAATACTCATAACTAGCTATTACATGTTGCTCAAGCTAAGAAACTTAGCCCATAATCCAATTAATCAAACACCCAACTGAATTTAGGACATTGAGAGAAAAATTGGGAAGAAAACTTGTTGATCATTCTCGTAGATTAACTTCAAGAACCGCCTTGCTTCTTCTTCTTCTTCTTCTTTTTTAAGACAAATTTCCAAACACTACAAAAATTAATCGACTTCACGACAAAAAAATATTGTTTCAAAATTTGAGATTTTATTATAAAAATAATTTAGCGACAACAAGATGTTTGTTGTGCATTGTCAAGCTATATGAGTCATGGAATGTATTATGCAATAACTTTTGCTCATTCATCACATCAATAAACTCACAAAACTATTTGTTTGATGCATAAAGTACGAAATAGAAACAAAATATTTGTCGTCATAATGTCAACGTAATGCATATTTATCATGAAAAAATAAAAGGTCGACAAGTCAATTTGTCGCAACGATTATTTCAATAAAGTTTTTACGAGAAAAATATTTTTTGCGAATATTATTTTAAAGGTATAACTTTTGTTATCTATTCTATTTTGCAACAACACATACTCGTAAATGTTATCTTTAATAATAAGTCATATTGGTCACGAAATATGATTTACATTGCGTTTGATATGTTGCATAATATATTTTAAGATATTCAACATTTGTAGTTCAATTTATTATGTAACCAGTGATGTTTGTAATTAAATTTATTTTTCAATACAAAGTGTTTGTCTCGTCATCATTTGTGCAACGATGTATAATTGTTGCCTAACTTGTTTCATGATTATTCATTTATGTCACGTATTTTATTTTACTACATACAAAATTATTGCGCAAATTATTTTGTGACAATGGATATTTATTTTTATGATAAGTTGCGCTTGTAATTAAATTTAAGGACATCACTAGAGATAAAGAGAGAGAAATTGGAAAGAAAACTGTTGATCATTCTCGCAGATTAACTTCAAGGATCGCCGCGCTTCTTCTTCTTCTTGTTCTTTTTTAAGATAAATTTCCAAACACTACAAAAATTAATCGATTTCATGACAAAAAAATATTGTTGCAAAAATTGAGATTTTATTATAAAAATAATTTAGCGACAAGAAGATGTTTGTTGTGCATTGTCGAGCTATATGAGTCATGGAATGTATTTTGCGACAACTTTTGCTCATTCATCACACCAATAAACTCACAAAACTATTTGTTTGATGCATAAAGTACAAAATAGCTACAAAATATTTGTCGTCATAATGTCAACGTAACGCATTTATCACTAAAAAATAAAAGGACGACAAGTCAATTTGTCGCAACGATTATTTCAATAAAGTTTTTACGAGAAAAATATTTTTTTGCGAATATTATTTTAAAGGTATAACTTTTGTTATCTATTCTATTTTGCAACAACACATACTCGTAAATGTTATCTTTAATAATAAGTCATATTTGTCACGAAATATGATTTACATTGCGTTTGATATGTTGCATAATATATTTTAAGATATTCAACATTTGTAGTTCAATTTATTATGTAACCAGTGATGTTTGTAATTAAATTTATTTTTCAATACAAAGTGTTTGTCTCGTCATCATTTGTGCAACGATGTATAATTGTTGCCTAACTTGTTTCATGATTATTCATTTATGTCACGTATTTTATTTTACTACATA